ATCCCAAACAACCTAATCTGCTAATTTTGATATCACTTTATACTCACGACCTTGTATCCACTGACTGTCTTGTTAGATTAACCCAAAAAATTTCATTCACTTTGCATACTCAATCCTATAGACATCCTTTTAATTCTTCAATCATAGACGTAACTTCGATTTCACAAAATAGTCAAGAGTAATCACACCCACTTCATTAAAACCTCGATTCACCAGTACAACATATTGACCTTTCAGCATTGATCGCCATAAATTTCTTTTCTGACCCCTATCCAAAAATCTTGTATCCTCCCTTTTTCTTAATCTCGCTAATTTCCGAATCTCTGAATCCTCTCGTCTACCCTAACCATTTTTCGAATGTTTTTCTCCTCCTCTCAAATCCTAGCCTCTGATCTTAACTCTAGTCTTGGATCCGAAATTGGCTTCGCCGTTCGAGCTTTTTCTTCCATTTTTTGCCTTTTAAAAGGTTCTTTTTCCAGAAACCACGTTCCTTGAAACAGCACAGAGAACAGGACAGCCTGAAACGGAATCAAAACCCCTATAATCGGGACCACATTGAGTCGCTCGACCAAATCACGTCTCATATTGGCTAAGAGGCCCGTAGTAAGACCTAGATGTTCCCGTAATTGGGTCAAATTGGTCCTTCGTGTCAGGCTTGCTCCATCATCGATTTAGTCCTTTCGATTCTATTGACTCCCACTATTGGACTCAAACTGAGCATTTCGTTACTGGTAAGTATGCCCTGACCGATTGTGACATGGTGTTTGAAACTGGCCCCTGAATATTGGCACTAGAATCGATAGTTGCTCCCAATATTCGAGGAAATTGAACATTAATAAAAGTCCCCTTCTTTATATTTTCATGGTATACTTGTGTTACAACATGACAGCATACCATCGAACTTGTCTGAAAGGCTAACTCGGGGCTCCTTATGTTGTAGAACCAATGATGCTTGTCGAACCTAAGGCAAAGTTGCTTCTCTAAGTGCAGAAGTTTGAGGCTGGTGCAACCTAGATTGTGCCATCCCAGATGCTCCATCATTATGAAGCCTTACAATGACTCCTTCAATCTCTGTAGTTCTTTGCGTTAATGTGGCGAAGGCATTCATGATAGCATCCAACTTAGACTCCGAACTTTTCGTCATACTAATATCTTAACCTCTGGCCATTCTAAGAGAAGGACAAAAATGACTCTACAAGAAGACAATATTGGTTTAGAGGAGGGTACTCTCCAACCTCTAAAATGCCTTAAGAGCTTCAAGAAAAGGGGTAATCCACTCTCTCTAAGAAGAATAAGACTCCAATATTGTAACAAAAGAAGTATCAGTTTAGAGGAGGGTAATCCGCAACCTCTAAAATGCTAGTACACTTCCAAGCAGAGGGGTAATCTGCACTTTAATGAGGAAGAAACTAACTCTGATATCTGAGGTGAGTGAAGTCTCGACAAATTGTCACGGACACAGAAATATAAACTCGAGATCTAACAAGAAGTTCAAGAAGAACTGACAAGAACTAGATTAATCAGATGAATACAAGAACAATACTAGAGAGGTGAGCTAGAGCTCCAAGAGATGTATTGTCGAGACTGAAGAACTCTTCAGCCTCGATTCCAATATATACTCCTATTTAGGAAGCTTTTCAAGCAACTTCTACCAACTAAGAAGCTTCTAGAAGGTTCCAGAGACTTGCTTCTAGAAGGTTTTAGAAACTTATCTCTAGAAGGTTCTAAGGACTATGTTCCTAACATCTTCTATCAACTAAGAAGCTTCTAGAAGGTTCCAGAGACTTGCTTCTAGAAGGTTCTAGAAACTTGTCTCTAGAAGATTCTAAGGATTATGTCCCTAACACCCTCAAACCGATGGACAAACAAAAAGAGTAAATCAAGTTTTAAAGTAGTATTTGAGATGTACGATCAACTATCAATAAGATGATTGGACAACTCTTTTGCCATTGGTAAAGTTTGCTTACAATAATTTGGTACATTCTTTTACTCAATAAACAACTTTTTTTGCTAATTACGATTATCATCCATAATTTGATACTTTGACTTTTTAAAAATTAATAATCCTACAGCGGAAGATGTGGCAAATTGATTTTCAAAGCTACATAGAATAATGAAGGTACAATTAAAAGAAGCTTAAGAATGACAAAAAGTCAATGCAGATGTATATCATAACGAACAACCTCAATTCCATATGGGAGATAAGGTATGATTACTTTGTCATAATATTAAAACTATTTGTCTTTGTGACAAGTTGGATTATCATAGGCTTGGACCATTTCCCATTTGTGAACAAATCAATCTAGTTGCTTATTGATTACACCTACCGGAGTCTATGAAAATCCATCATGTGTTCTATGTGTCTTTACTTGAGCCATATAAGACAATAGATATACAAGGAAGGAAACAAATGCCACCACCTCTTATAGAAGTGAACAATAATGAAGAATTTGAGGTGGAAGTAGTCTTAGATTCAAGGCGATGCCAAAATAGGTTAGAATATCTAGTACATTGGCATAGATGTAATATTAATAAATGCACATGGGAGCCATCTAGGAATCTAGCAAATTTATTAACCAAAGTTAAACCTTTTCATCAATGACATCAATCAAAATCAAGATGAAAAGTCAAGAAATTCTTTACTATAAAGCAAAGCAAGTCTAATGGAAATTTCATTCTATCTTGTATCATTGTTTCTTTGGATTTTTTAGTACTTAGGAGATAGAGAACCAACAACCAGCAGGTTCAACTCAAGAGCTATCATTTGTTGAGCTACCAAATGAGACATTACAACTATCACAACCTTCAAGATGACAAAATTGAGATGAATTTCCTCAGGAATGACATGTTCTTCCTTGAATAGATGGCAAGATACAATGCATTTGGTACCACAACCGTGGAAGGAACTCTAAGTGTTTAGTGATACTTTTGGAAGTAGAAACCACTCTTGATGGTATTCCTAATGTTTTGTTTGAAAGAAGTTATGAAGGCCTTAATAATGATCAAATATCTGGATAGTCTTCTTGCCTTGGTATGAAACATTATCGTTGATTGTAGGGACCTATCAACTACATTTGAAAGAAACAAAGATCAGAGTACGTAGCAAATATAATTTGACGCATCTTAGACTTTATCAACATGTAATCACCGCTCTTCATGGAACTCGTCTCTAGAAGGGGAGATAATATCACAGACATACATATTTATTCTCATAATTATTTAGATAATAAGAATAGGTAGAAATAAATGAAAGTAGATAAATATGATAATATCTTATAGAAAGCTTTCTAGAAGCTTTATAGACGCTGCTTTGCCTTTATACATGTGTATAGGTGATTGGTAGCTTGAAAACTTGGCAATCAAAGAGGCCATGTGTTGACATGTTGACCACTTGTAATACAATTTGGACATATGGCACACACCTAGGAAACTTGTCTTGTAAATTAGACATGTGTCTTGTAAGTTGGATGCATATTAAAGATCATATAGCATGTTGCCACATAGTTCTTAATTAAGTAGTATATAAAGAAGGAAGAGTGAGGCCTTCTTCACTCTTGTCAACTGCTTCCTTGCTTTTACTCTAATTTCAAGAGTCTTATATTTTCTAGTCTTTGGCAATAGCCTATCTAATTCTTCCTTAAATATACATACTTTTTTCTATTTTTTTACTTTCATTTTGACACAGATTCCACAAGTTTATATATCTTCTTCTAGTTTGTGTCCTTGACATTGGGTGATTGAAGGAGTTTTTAAGTGTGAATTAATTTTGATTGAACAAAAAACTAAAATTTTTAGAATCTACTTAGTTAATTCACTTATTATAAATTAGAATAAACTTTCAATTAGTAGAGGTTTATTTTAGCTCATAAAATGTTAATTTATGCAAAAAGTACCAACTTAATTTCATCAATTTCTTATTGTTTAAGCTTTGTTAAAAGACTTGGTTTTTGACAAACAACAATAGATAACATTAGTCTTATTGATGTAACTTCTAACAAGTACTCCATATACATTCAAAGCAAGTATACTTGATTCTTAAATGTATAAACATCAAAAATTATTGCAACTATAATATGTAAATTAAAAATAAGGTAAATGAAGAAAATACTAATATTAAAATAAAACAAACATTAGTATGGAAAATAAAAAAATGATTCTATAAAATGTCAAAATTTGGATGTACATGTATTATTTATCAATTATAATAATATAAAAATAGTATAGCAATATGCTTCTTTTTAATTTTAATAAGACTTGTGATATCAATTATATCTTTAATACTAGTAATGACATTAATTATTTGTAGAAAAGAATATTTTATAGATACATTTGATAGAAATTTGATATTAATGTATTAATTCAAAAATTATTTTGGACATATCATATTCAAGTTCATACAAAGAAGATGTTATTTTAGCATTTCTGGATATCAACAACTTGACAACTTTGAAATAGTTGAGAACTTGTCAACTTTAAAATCACCTTTTTTGATGATTTTAATAATACTCAAAGAATAATAATGATTACAATAGATTTAGCAAAATAGAAAACCAATGTCTTAATTCACTTAAAATAATAATACAAGTTATTTTAACTCTAGACATTCCAAATATCAAAATCAAAGAATATATATATATATATATATATATATCAAATAAATAAGTTTCCTTGTGCTTCATCATCATATGATCTTGAAATTACTAAGCTATGTAAAATGGTTTCCATCACTTTGTGTTGATTTTGTTTTGTTATTTCTTTTCTTTTCTTTTATATTCAACAAACAAACAAAAACAAATCCCATCTAATTATAGTTTGTATCTAGGCTGAAACACAAGGCTTGCAAAGGGACACTATTAAAATTCAAGAAGCATATCTAAGACAAATAAAATAAATTCTTATTGGGTACTCTATACTTATATAATTAATTTCTATCACAAAACCAAAATCCTGTGCATAGGGAAGAAACTATAGAGACCCCGGGTAATGGGTAACGACGCTGCTTCAAAGCTCACCCAGCAAACAGCAGCTGCCGGCGTCATCTTCCAAGGCCGCGCTTCACCGTGCGCTTGCGTTCTTCCGCGGCAGCGTCGGATAGAGCGCAATCCAGGCTTGGACAAAACGCGGTCTCCGTTCGTCCGACCCTCCGTCGTCGTCGTCCTCGTTCAGCTCTGCAGCACCGCATCGTGCTTCGCCTTGCAAATCCATCGCGCTCTTGCAATTTGGGTTTCAGCCGATTTGTTAATCTCAGAGGGACTATGGCAGAGGTTTCAACTTCTCTTCGCCCGGTCTCTGCTGCTGCCTCTCCTTCTCTCGCCTGTCCTTCGCGTCTCTCGCGCTCGCCCTGGACCCAAAGCGCATTCTCCGTCAGGTCCAGCAATTCTGCTGCCTCCTCCTCGTCGTCATCCTTTGTTGCGGCTGCTAGCAGTCGCCCCCTTCGATTCACAACTCGTCAGTTGGATGCCTACGCTCCGGATGAATTTGGATATGGTGCCTCCTCGGAATCGAACGGACCTTCTTCCTCTTCGGGCTCCTTTGAGTCTGTCACATTGCTCCCTGAGCCTGTATCTGCACCGGCAATAGGGTTTGGTAAGCTGGGGTGTAGTCATTTCTTTACCACACATTGCTCACAGATCAGACTACCTCTTATCGTCAATATCTGCAGCTCATCGCTGTGAAAAATGGTCCAGAATCAGCTCGATTCTTTGTTAGGTTTTGCAACTCGTAGTTGTGTGCAGTGTCATATGTTCTCACTTTGTTGTGGTAACATGTTTGGTGCGGGTGCATTCTTGATTTTTTTATTGTGGAATTATTCCTGTGTCGTGTGACAGTCTTTTTGATGCTGGTGTGATTAATAATGTGCTGATTAATTGGCTTTCCAGGGAACTCCTCCAAATTGTTCAAGGCACAGATCATCCGGAATGTGATGGTGGCAGCTCCAATCATAATTGGAGCACTTTTTGGAAATGCGATTGTAGCTTCAGCAGCTGAGCATTCCATAGGAAGTTCTAGCCTCGGTTTGAAGGTGGCTTCGTTCCTGCGAGGATCAGGTTTAGGTGATGAAGTCATTGTGGCTTTAGTTGCCTGCCTTCCTGCTTTAGAGCTTCGTGGGGCCATACCAGTTGGTTACTGGATGAAGTTAGCCCCTCTGAAGACTTATGCATTGGCTGTAATTGGGTGAGTCCCTTCTTTGTAATCTTTGACAGTTTGCTGTTTCTCTCTGTTTTCTAAAATATGTCGATTGATGCATATGAACTTGAACAAGATGAAGTAACGAGGGTTTATGATTGTCTTGGGAACATGCAGAAACATGCTACCTGTGCCCTTTATAGCGCTTTACTTGGATAAGCTCTTCAATTACGTGGCCTCAAGTAGTGAAGGTGGAAAGAAATTGGTAGATATAATCGTTACGAACACAAGACGAAAAGCCGAGCCTATTAAAGAGTTCAAATGGCTTGGGCTCATGTTGTTTGTTGCCGTTCCGTTTCCTGGAACAGGGGCTTGGACGGGTGCTTTCGCAGCATCCATTCTGGGGATGTCATTCTGGGAGAACATTTCAGCTAACTTTGTGGGTGTCTTGTTGGCAGGTGTTTTGGTTAACTTAGTAGTGAGTGTAGGTATTCGAGAGGCTCTCTTTGTTGGTTTTGCTCTCTTTATTTTGTCCATATTCATGTGGCGGATCCTACGCTTCCTCAATCAGAAGAAAGCTTCAGATGGTTGAGATAGACGCATGAGGGCCTATTGAATCATGCACACAAGGTTAGACGTAAGGCCTTTCTTTTTATTTAGATGTAGGAAAAAGAGCAAACTTAGACTGCCCAGTTTGTCCTTGTTGACCTTGACCCAGGAGGTTCACTGTTGTGCTCAAATTGAGCAAGGTTTTAGAAGAGAAGCTCCAGTGTTGATTTCAGGTGCGTTTACGCAACGACAGTGCCGTTTTATCAGATTCCCAGCTACGAGTACTTAATCTGGATTCAAGTGAACAATCTTCAAACGCAGTTTGTTCCTGTTAAGAGACATGAGACATGCTTGCGGTTGCTTGAAAATGGTAGCAACAGAACACTTTTGATGTACATATGAAGGAAAATCTGATGTGTGTAGCATAGTTGGTTAAGAATTGTATGATTCATTTTTTCTATAAATGATCTGTTATTTTTTCTTTCAATGTTAAAAAAATTTGAGACTTTAACCATCATTGTTTTCTATTATTATTGTAATTGTTATTATTTGCAGTCAGTATAAAGGATTATCTAGTTTGAAAAAAAACATGAATAGCAAAAATGTCAGAATATTAATAAAAAATGAATGCAAAGATGGCTACTTTGAGTATAATTTAGTTAAGATGGTCAATCAGATTCTATTGTTTGTTATACGATTTCTTGTTCTATGTTCTTCAAATTGTATCTACTTCAATAATGGTTTGGTAATTTGTGCACTGATAAGTCAATCGTTACTTTACTTTTAATCACAGAATAATATAAATTCGGAAGTTTAAAAGCTAGAATTGGTAGTAAAACTTGAACCTGTTAAAAGAAATCAAAAGGCTCCTAATAAGCTTGATTTTGTAAAAATGTAATGAATCCATCTCAATGTTCTGTATAGTACACGTGTATATACACTTACATGTACTGATTTTAAAAAGTTCATGCCAAAGAATGAGATGAGTAAATGAACAAAATACAATATCTGCACAAACTATGCACATTCTAAATTCAATAGAATGTCCTAGGTGACAGAATGAACTTGAACCAGAATTTATTGCATTGGGTTTCTTCCAAGTTTCCTTTTGGGATTGTAGTCAAATGCCCATCTAGACATAAACAGTTGACAAAACCATCATCAAAATTCTCAGCCTCGTAAAATTCAAATGCTAGTTGGGGTCCCTTCTCGCGCACAATGATCCATGCTGCAAGGCTTACACGGTGCATCATGAACTTCGGAACATACCGACAATGCAATTGGGTCCAACACTAATCACCGTTTGCAGTTACTATTGATGGATACTACATCTGATGCAAACCAATCGATCGATCGATCGATTAAGTCATCTGCAACCTTTGGAATGGCATCGCCTTCTCCCTTCGGAAGCAGCGGCAGCGGCAGAAGAGCAAGATCGCACCAATCAAGATCACTCCTCCGATGACAGAGCCGGCTATAATCGCGTTCAAATGCTGCTGTCGCGTAATCGCAACTGCACCATACACAGGGAGGAAGTCTGAGCCAAACTATCCGGTGATGGCTTCTCACACAGGATCACCGCAAAGATCACGAAAACAACATGATATACTTTCTTCTTCCTAGCATGCGCATCATCGAGGTGACTTTCAAGTGCAGCGTGCATAGATTAGCAAGTAAAGGTGGTTTAAAAAGCGTACATGGGGCAGGAGCTGGAGCGATGGGAGAAGGGGCAATTGAAGGTCCTGCAAATGATTCGGTGAGACGTAAGCAAACTGCCGCAGACTAGACATGAGATTAGGATCGTATCTCCGCTCTGGAGATTGCGAGTCATAGTTGAAGCGACCGTCAACCTCATTTGATTTCGCTACTCTGAACTGGGAAATACCAAGAATTCACTGCTTATCCTGAAGTCTGAATGTGGGGTAAGTGAATCCTTACTCGGGGGACCTGTAGGCGGGGGAGAAGTGGGACCTCCGAGACCTGTAGGTGGTGCTGCACCAGGGGTACTAGTTGGGGGAGGAGCTCCTCCCACTAGAGGGGAGGAGCCCACTGGAGGAGGTGTTGCATCTTGAGGAGGTCCCGCTACATCTGGAGGAGGTGTTGCTGCTTGAGTAGGTCCTGCTACAACCGGAGGAGGTGTTGCTGCTTGAGGAGGTTCTGTTACAACTGGAGGAGGTGTTGCGGCTTGAGTAGGTCCTGCTACAACCGGAGGAGGTGTTGCTGCTTGAGGAGGTTCTGTTACAACTGGAGGAGGTGTTGCGACTTGAGGAGGTTCAACTGTCGCTGGAGGCACCGCTATCAATTACAGTGCATAAGAAGAACTCAGTACCACTTCGAATTATTCTTCAAGCAGAGTGGCACAAGGTCCATACTAAGCAAAGAGTTCTCTCACAGGAATATCCATCAAAACCTTCATCACAATATCAATTAAAACCTTGCACGATGATTGCCACGTATTTGTGCGATTAACCAAAGACTGGACCCGGTACTGAATGTCATTCATATGGTAATTTCACAAATGGGTTGCTTTCAGCTGTGCGTTGCCTGTGGTGAAGAAATAATCACAAGTACGTAGCCTGAATCGCTGCAGAAACTCTCCTAATATGTTGAAATCAAAGTTATGGGACAAAGTTTGTGTGAACGATCCATACAAGGAGCAGTCGACTGCAGTAGCCCCCGACGTCCGCCAACAGCCACAGCTCTATCTCCGATCACTGTAAACATTGGAGAGAAGAAAAATCTCTTAGTAAAGTTTAGAGTGCAAATCGTAATGTAATTAGCTACTCCAAAGCACAATGTGTCTGATTTTCTTTGTGAGTTGATCTTCATGGTGACTGATAGAGCTCATTGTCGCGGGACTGAGATGTGAAGACGGACTGGTACCATGCATCAATCGCATAAAACTTCACGGCCTCAAAACGTGCACACGGTTTCTAAATTAGAAAAAGTAACATCTCTCGGTTTAGGGTTTAGATAGCACCAGAATAGCTTAGGAATGTAACGTTGTAATTCAAAGAACGGTAGTAAACGTACCAGAGTGGGTAGCACCAGCTGCAGACAAGACGGAGAGAATAAGCAGAAGAAAGGGCACCGGCCATTTCGAACTCCCCATTGTAAGACTTCCTAGACCTGTTGATTTTGAACCTGGATTTCTCAGAAACCGGTAAACTCTGTGCTCTTATGCCTCTAGTTAGTGTGTGACCCCTGTTCTGTATTTTCTCGTCCAAATAGATTAACGAACGCGAGCTGGCACTCTGCGTCACAAACTCGCCCAGAAAAAACGCCGACTATGAATCACACTCTCGCAGTGAACTAGAGATTTTGTGGGCATCATGGAGTCTTCGACATTCGCCACTTAAAATGAAAAATAATAAAATTTAGCCCACAGAATCCTCCAAACGCTTGAACATCAAGCGGACTATCTACACTACCCAACGTGGGCAAAGTAACTTAGCTTTCGACCTGCTTCAGATAGCTATGGCGTATCCTGCAACAGAAGAAACCAAAACCTGTAAGAAAAATCCACTACACAACCCTCCACAGAATGCGAGGACACTACCCGAGCTCAACGCTTCAGTTATAACTATTATAAAAATGGAGCTCGTATGTTCACCAAACCCACTCGCACACCAACCTGCGAGGGATTTCCAACAACCCAGTTCCAGACCACATTGTCAGAAACAGCAAAGTTTGGCCGAAATTCAGCTTTACACACTAGCGGGAAGCTAAGACCAGGCAACACAGTGCACCGCGTATCCTTCCTCGCCGCAGCTGACAAGACCCTGTGAAACAGAACTTGAAGACTTCAAAGTGAATGATTGCTATGGTACAAAACGCTAAATTATTGCCCCGAGCTCACAGTAACAGATCTCTGCGGCGACTTCAGACAATTACCAGTTCCAGACAAACGCACCAAACGTGTTTTACCCACCCCAGCTTCACGAGAGGCAATCTCATCACCAGATGTGTATGCAAACCTAACAAAAGGCGGACGGCCGCCGGTGCGAAGAGGCTTCAGCTGGTTTGTCCAGAAGATCTGAGCTCAACCGACTGACTGAAAAAGGAACACATCATCGTAGAATAAAAACCAGTGTCCACGACCACCAAGGAAGTTCTCGCAACTTGCCGCCACTATCACGCGGTCAATACTAAGACTTCCGATCATCAACACCACCGGCAAAGGAATCGCGCAGGGGGTTGCTAAAATTCGTTAACAGAACGGCTCCAGCGGAGGCGAGAGAGCCATGCTCCGACGAAGCTCCGAATGCGGCGCCGTTCAGAGTGGCCACTTAAATGACCAAGTCAACTGTGCCTTTGGTGTTGTGCACAACTTGGTCACAATCCCGTTGGCAAGCTGCGGCAGGCAAATCGACGTCGGGATTCGCCGTGCTACGCCTGGGCTGTTGCTCCTTCGACGACGGCAACTGATCGGGGCGCCATGACGAGATTGGAGCATCCAGCTTCTGCACAACTGGGTGCTCACAACTTCCCTAGCAAGTTAATGAAGGTTCAGAAAACACTAGATCCCATCTCATAATCAGCGAATTCAGACTCCCCAATTATTGTCGCTAATTGACATTTCTGGATCCAAGATGTCTTGGTTCTGTCGTTTGCTCCCAGCTTTCTAAAAACAAATACTACAGTCGACGAAAGTCAATAGCTGACTCGATGACTATGACCGTTTTTAGGATGATGCTATTGTGTAGTTGCAATAATCGGTATCTACATTAAACAAATATGTGTTAAAAGAATCGTTGTCCTATTCGTATTCTAGTGTATTTCATTTCATTGTTGACATACAAAGTTCTGTGGGGGATTGTGTAATGTTGACAAGAAAGTGCATCTTCTTCTTTACTCTCAAATCATTTTTTTCTGTAGAATTGTGATCTTTTGTGTATTTATTTCATTCCTTGCTTAGCATTGTGTTACATTCTCTTGCCTTTTTCTCATGTCTATTGATTGGGGGTTGGGCAATGGTGAGGGTTTGATTGTTACCCCACTTAAGGGTTTAAACTTGGATTTGGCTATTACCTAATCTTAATATTTACATATTTGTTGTTTTTGTTGTTGTTGTTTGTTTGTTTGTTTTTTTTTTTTTTTGTTTTTTTTGTTTTTTTTGTTTTTTGTTTTTTGCCTTGATTATTGCTCTCTTCTTTGTCATCTATTGTTGCATTGTTTCCTTATATGATTCTTTGCAATACATCATTTTTGTGTCATGTTGTTAACTTATGCTACAAGTTCATTGTTGTTGTGTTGCATTCTTTGACTCTTTATCATAAATTGCTTGTGTGATATGTTATTAAAATATGGTACTGATGAGTACAAGTTTTACTCATTTTCCTTGGATTAATCCTATAATGTGTTATTAGCCTTTAATGCTATTGTGATAACCCTTTGCGCTAATCAATCACATCAATCACATCAATCCCATCTACAAAGACTTTTTCATTAACTTCACATGCTTATATTGATGCCTTGATTACAATTTGAGACTTGTTTGCAAATTTTGTAACAATACTAGTGAGAGGCATGTCTTTTTGTTGGACCAATTATATGAAAACTTTATTTGTTGTCAATACAATTGTTTTTAGATATTGTAGATTATAGTTATGAATAATTTTTGACATGAAATGCCAACGATTTTTTAATATTCCAAATAGTGTCAAAATTTAAATTCTCATTGTGAAAAATAAAAATCTGATTATATGCAATATGTTTTTACATTAGGTTTTTAAAATACTATTTCTTTAATATAAAAATCATTATAAAATGAAACAATATAAATATTACAAATCACATAACTAGTTAGTTTTAAGATCAATAAATTATTGATGCAACATATAAAATGTTTGCACATTTGTTTATTCAATACAAAATTTAACTTGAATACAAATATTGAAGTTTTAATAAATTTTAAATCATATATATATATATATATATAAGTCCTCAAAAAAAAAGTATTTTTTTTTAGTATGATAAAAAAACAAATTAATTTTTTTGTAAATGTTTTAAATTGAAAATAAAATAAATAGTTAATAACCAACATCAGTTGAATAATAATATGTGCCTTAATCATAGTATGAACAATATTTGACCATCAAAAACCACCTATCATTGTGTGTACAATGATTTTAATATATTTAAGTTTCTAAGTAAATAAACAGAATGATAACAAATGCAGTCACACACATATGCTATTGTTTACAATTCATGAAAAAAGCTATAACACTATTTATTTGAATGTTAGTGTTAATACATGTATGTACTGTAAAAGGTAAGATATAAAAACCCCATGATTCATCACATTTGTTAAGCATTAGAAATTTAATAAAAATATTTTTTCAATGCATTTTTATAACCGTATCTACAAAGTTTCTCAATCAATTTTTTCAAGACATCATGTATTTTACTGTAACTTACAAGTTGTGTAGCCGGAAAATCATGTGGTGTTGAGAATCTGTACTTGTATTAGAGTATCAAGAAGTCTATTGTTGTTGCAAGTTGTTAAACAAATAAACACATATAATAACTTACACACCTGGAGAATCTGATTAAATTCTGCTAATTAATGACAAAAAGAATTAAAAAATGTCCATATTTTCTTACAATAATTTCATATTAATTTGGTGTTACTGAGATATTTTTCTCATATTTTTTTTCAAGTAAAAATACTAACACACAAAATGTTAAAAAAGAATAATCACCTCAACGCAACATAACCGACATCGCCCATTTATTTGTGTAATCATTCAACTGATTATGATCACTTCAAAAATCTTAGAGCTCTACAACATATGACACGGTTTTACCCTAAACCCTATGCAGAGGAATTCGAGACCCTATAACCGCGTGCGTTCATGGGCCGTGACCGTAAGCCCTAAAACTCGACCTGCTACAAAGTTGCCGAGACTTTCAAAAAAAAATCGTAAACCAGAGCTCCGTGAAGGTGCGAAAGGCAGTTGGGAACGATCTGGCGGAGTGGCATTGCCGTGGAAAGAGCAGATTGGAGCTGGGTTATCGTGTTATTTGACGAAGGAGGTGAGACTCACCGATTCTCTTCGAAGTTTTGCTGCGCGAGTCGTTCATTCACTTGATGGAGAAGGATTGAACTCATTTGTTGATTGCATGGATCGATGAGATTCGATTAAATAACTCGGGAATTACTGTGTGAGAGGCGTAGACTGAGTCGGTCTGTGCAATTGATTTGCCCACAGGGATCTGGGGATGGAGGAGTAGAGAACCAGGGCAGGACAGGGTGACAGCATGGGGGCTATATCGGCAGCAGAGGTTAGCTACATCGAGGGTGGCATTGCGCAGAACCTCCGTTCAGATGGCCGTGGTCGTCTAGATTTCCGAAATATCGCCATTACCACTGGTGTCATCCCTCAGGTTACTCTCTCACGTTAGTTTTTACTGTACGGAATGTAATGTGAAGTAGCTTATTCCCGGGGCTTGTGAATATTTGGTTTTCTGCTCTGTAATTCTTCTTTGTTTGTTTCTCTGCAGGCTAATGGGTCTTCACGATGTAAAGTGGGAGGAACGGATGTGATGGTTAGTGTTAAGGTAATCCACTGACCTGACTGAAGGCCACTTAGAAGCTTCTTGTGCATGCTAGTTTTGAGTTGCAGACGTTTGTAGTTCCGATATGGACTAGTTTGTATGTGGCTTATGTTGTGTATTGTGGTTCTCAGCTTCTCTAAGTGATTGAGACAGCGATGGGATACACTTACGCACCTTTGTGTTTAGTACTGATGGTGGAGACTGAAAGATTATGTTAAACATAAGTGTTCTTACTCTGTTGGTTGTCATTGATGCCTTAAGACTTGGGGCACAGCTAATGTGATTAACTTGGCAGGCCGAACTGGGAAACCCTCCTAAAGGCAGGCCCTCACATGGTGGAATGCAGATCAAGGTTGAATGTTCACCGACTGCCAACCCTGAATTTGAGGTATATTTCATTAATTTTTTTAATCACTGACTTTACACTGAGTGCCTATCCAATTCATAACGTGATGCAGTGGATAATGATGAACCCGCTTAATCTATGTCGTTCTTTGTGCCACTACATTGAATTGATGGTCTTTATTAACGATTTGAAGGGAAGAGGAGGAGAGGAACTGTCGCTGGAGCTTACAAGAGGCTTGGAGCGGAGTTTTCTGGGAGGTCCTAATGGTTCTGGTTAGTGCTGTGCTAGTCGAGAGATTTCGATTGTTTCTTCGCTTGATCTATTTGAACACACTTTTCAGTCGCCATCAAGAATGGAAGTTGTAGAGTTGCCCTTATCAACTGGATTTAAGTGGGTTTTGAGTTTGAGTAAATTGTCTTCTTTCCCATGGATTTTTACTGGTGGAGTAGCAAGATACTATTTCCTGTCATACCACATCCACGAGTCCGTGAATATCGAGAATTGTCTCTGGGATCTTTAATCTTTGAATTTGGGTTGAATTACTCAGGCGCTGCGATTGATCTATCAACTTTACGAATTGTGGATGGGAAGACGTGTTGGGTGCTGTGCATTGATGGACTAGTACTGAGCTCTGACGGGAACTTATTAGATGCCCTTTCAATTGCTGTTAAGGTGTTTATCCTCCTTCCTTTCTCTTCTATTGAGGTGCACGATAAGGAATGCGGATGTTCTGAAACCTGAAATTTTCGAGATGGCCTTGCATTCAAAATACTGTTGTTACAATGTTTGGCACTAAAACGTATACTCTCAATACGGTTTGAAATGTCCAGGCAGCTCTGAGAAACACTGGTCTACCGAAAGTGGAAGTTGTAGCCGGCGGAGCAGAAGACGAGGATCCTGAAATTGAAGTGGATGATGAGGAGTCCTCTCAATTGGATGTATCAAATGCCCCTGTTATCATAACTCTCACAAAGGTAAGCTACCATCTTGATTCAAATCCATTCCTGCAATTTCTGTGGCGTAATTCAAACTTCTAGTTATGACCAGAGCTATCTGAGTGATGGAAACAGACTAATTTTAAATGTAAAAAGTAAGCGCAATTGAGGCTTATAATATAGGTTTTCATTTATATACGCACTTTGAGATATAGCCTTGGCACAAATGATGGTTATACTGTTCTTTTTATTTTTTCATTGTGAAGGTGGGGAAGAGCTATTTTGTGGATGCAACCGCAGAAGAAGAGTCACATATGAGGTCAGCAGTTTCAGTGGCTGTTAACAGGAAAGGAGTTGTATGTGGAGTTACAAAGAGGGGAGGTGAGGGCTTGGAACCCAGCACCATCATTGACATGATATCAGTAGCCCAGCAGATAGCATTGACGTATATTCCTGCTCTAGACCTACAAATAGCTGCTGCAGAAAGTGTGGATCCTGATTCATAAGTTTGTTGGATCACTGGCTGGAGGCTTCAGAAGCCAACTCGATTACGTTAGTGTGCATTTTGAATGTTGTGCCTACTCATTGTTCAATCCAGTAAAACAAAACTTCATAAATGCTGGTTTCGTTATTGGGAATTCTCACGGATTGCGCCATAATCATCTCTGAAGAATCTTCATTGCAATGGATAAACTTATCTTTCGTTCGAAAGCTTAACTTGACATGTGCTTGTGTCCTTGGTAGTCACTCTTTAATTTGTCAGTTATGATTGTTTGGTGGCCTTCCCCTGTGTGTGTATACATGCGAATATGTTCCATTGTTTACTAGATATGCATGGTTTATTGCTATTATATCCACCTATTAGGTTTTAGGATATAAGTAGCTTTACTCTCTTTATTTTTTACATAACCTAAGCATTGGGTAGAAAAAATAACAAACTTTGTAATCTTGAAATTGATTTGTGGGGTGTTAATATTTGGAAGTGCACTTTAAAAGAAACTAGTATTTTGAAATAAATGTATGAGTTATGTTTTATTATGTTTTTCTTTTCTTTTCTTCTATGTTAAATATGCTTGTGCCATTAAATAGCCATTAGTTTGTCAAAAACATTATGTAAGCATTGAGTTGGACACTCAAGTGTTTGGAAATCAGATTAACTTAGTTGGGCAGATAATGATCATGCTGTTTTAACCAAATGCCCAATGTTGTTATGACCCACTATTATATATGCACAAAGCTTTGTGCAAAAAGTGTATTCTTTATTTCCACATGACTAATGAAAACATCTCTTTCTTGTATTAAAACATTATATGATCTATTTTGAAGCATTCAAGTTCTTCGACTTTATTTTCACCAAGTTATGGGTCTATGTTCTCATTGTCTCTCATGTGACATATTTTCTCCCTAGAAAATTAGCTCAAGCAAATAGATATATCTTTTAGCTATCTTTTTTGAATCATTCTTGACTTGTGCATTTTACCTATACATGATTGTTTTTCTGCAAGAGATGGATCCTTCTTTCTTTTCTCTTTTGCTCAAACTTTTCTTTCACCATTGTGATGGAAGAAGAGATCCACAAAGAGCATGTCCTTGTCCACAAGGAAACTTTGGAATGGATTAGTCCAAAGCCAAACCTATTGCCTTTTCTTGCACAAAATTCTCTCAAACATGATCTCATGAATATTAGTACCACACATATAGAGAAATATACAAAAGAGAACTTTTATGTTTGGAAATTTTAGATGAGCAACTTACTTTGTACAAGAAAGCTCCAAGGCATTTTCAATGACACAATTTCAAAAGAATCATTTGCTAGCAAAGAAGAATGAGCTATTAAGAATGCAACTTTTTAATCTTTCTTCATCTCTACTATAAATAAAAAAAAACTCCTGCGTAGATTAATGAATTGTCACACATCTAAACAAATGTAGTGTCATTTTATTCATGAATCATAAGCAATATACTACAAAGAATGTGCAACTACTACAATAATAGTTTCTTTGATATAAAAATAAAAACAAATGCTGAAGTGGTCGATCATGTCAATTTCATATAACAACTTACAAATCAACCAAATAATCTTAGCAAATCCATCTTAGACCAAGCAATCATTTGCAATTTTTTTGATTCCTTGCCATTAAGATTCTTCTATCTACTTTCAACCTAGAACATTGTTCCATGATATGAGCAAACCATTATAATGATGATATTGCAATTGCTTAAGGAAAAAAACAAAAACCGCATCTAAAAGTGTATGGATGACAAAGAAGAGAGAACTTATTTGCAATAGGATATAGATAAGATATTTATATTGTTGACGCATAGGTATAGATAGTTGGAGCCATGTTTGAGAAGTTTATAAAAGTTTCTAGAATTGAAGCTAAGTTAATGGGCTATGTTGGACATATTATAGAATATTTTAGAAGAGTTTAAGCCAGTTATCTAAGTAGGATCCACCATTAAGAACATTCTAGAAAGTTCGAAGATGATTGGACAAAGTATAAATAGGATTGACCAGGGCCATTTGAATATCTGATTAGAGATGACTTCAAACCTTTTCTTTTAGTAAAGTTTGGTTTTGTATCTTCATGTTCAATTTTGTTCTATTTTCTTTAGTTGTAGTCTCCTCTATCATACATTGTGATGAGATTTATGTTGTTGTGGTTTAGAAGGGTCTTAGATTTTTGAGATAGTTCGGTCTCGTTCCATTATTTTTTTAACTACAGCCATAGTTCAATTCCAAGCTACAAGCCTCTTTTTGCAAAAGAGAGGTATAAATGATTTGTTAATATTTTGGAGCTTAAGAAGAAAACAAAATGTAAGAAATGTAGTCAAAAAGGCCACTAGAAGAGTGAATATTTTGAAGCTAAGAAAAACCAAGACATGATTGAAAGCAGAAGCTTGGACATTAAAGAATGCAAAGCCAATATTGCTATAATTGAAGAACTTGACAAAGATGATAATTTGGCATTTATGGCACATAACCATGTTCTTGTGGACAATAAAGATACATAGTACATGGGTGGAAGAACAACACATTACACAATTGATCAATTGGACTAATTTACTTCATTCAAAAGCATATCATGTAGATGTTGGCCCATTATGATTGCAGACAACATACAACTTTGAATACAAGGAATTGGCTAAATTAGAATCAAGTGCAAACTTGTTGATATTGTTGATATTTAGAAGATTCAATGCATCAAGCAAATATTATATGTTCTAAATTAAGGTTTTGTTACAATATACATCTAATACACATGTTATCTCATAAGTAATAAGGAAAATAGAAAATTTATTTTGATAGGTTTTTATGTCAACAAACTATACAAATTGAAGCTAAGGGTAAATTTCAAAATTTCCTAAGAAAATATAGGCATGACATATAGCATAAGGAATAAGGTTGAGCTACACAAGGCACCAACAAAGAAATTCTTATTGTGGCATCAATACTTCGGCCATACACACAATGCCATGATTATAGACATGCAAACACACAATGTTATCTAGAGATTGGAGCTACTAAATCATGCAATTCCTCCAAACATCTAGAAAGATTGTGCTCATGGAAAAAGTACCTATCAACCCTTTTTAAAACAAAGATCATCACTAATAGCCAAAAGACTACAAATTTTCTTTTACAATAATGTTTGTAAATCAATGAGTTAAGAGTCTTTAGGAAAAGCATGATATTTTGTCCTCTTTAAAGAAAAAATTTTTAGGCTAGTGAATAGTCCATTGTATTTTCCACAAATTTGACATTTTAACCAAATTTAAGGATCTTTGTGCTCTTATTTTTTAACAAATTAGAAATCATATCCAAAAATTATAAAGCAATTAGGGATTAGGAGAGGGAGATTCATAGGCAAAGAATTTAATAAATTTATGATTGATTCAAAAATTTAATATGATCTTATAAGCCTATAAAATCTACAACAAAACAAAAGTATAAAAGAAAAAATTGTACACTAGTCAAATGCATATGTGCAATACTTCGTACAAAGAAATTAAATATGAGCCTTTGAAGAGAAGTAGTGAATACAATTGCCTATCTATTAAAATGCATGGCTTCTTACATCAGAAACTTTAAAACCTCCTAAAAGCTTTGGATTAGAAAAATATACATGGTTTCTTACTTACAGAACTTTGAATATGTAATACATATCTATGTACAAAAAGTATTCAAAAAAATTAGATCTAAAAATGTGAAAGCTAATTTTGTTGGCTATTGCATTAATATAAAGGCATATTATTTCTAGGATCTAAAGCACCAAAAAACTAGTGTGAGCTGCAACAACATCTTTGACAAGCTTTCCATCTCTAATAAAGTGATTCCTGAAGCTTTTTCAAGACTATTATTATTTCAAAAGATATCTCCTAAAATTCTTCACTACGCCAACACTGCTTGACCTTCCATCACAAATTTAAATTGAATCGAAGTTCTTACATTTGTAGACATTCAAATTTTTGAGGCAATTGAGCAATATGATTAGCAAGCATGCTTACCATCTTCTTTTACTATCTAAAGTCCAAATACTAGAATCAAGTGCCTCTTTGGAAGAAGACCAAATTCACCACCAACATAATCAATACTACAACCATCTTTCATCCATAGCATACCTTTTCATTTATAAAATTATATTTTTCTTTGATTCTTTATTAATCTTGTATCTAGAAAATACATCCCTAATAATCCAAACTTATATAAAGAATTTCTAGTTAGCTCAAAAGCAACAAAGTGGAAGCAATAGAGGTTGAATATAACTTGTTCTTTCAAAATAACACATGGTGCTTTATATCTCTTCTTCTTGGTTTCAAATCATTGAATTGCAAATGAATTTACAAAATAAAAACAAACCTCAATAGAATCATGGCCAAGTTCAAAGCATGCCTTATTACAAAAGACTATATACTAAAATATAATATAGATTATGATTAGACTTTCAACCCCATTGAAAAATATAAATCCATCTAAATAATGCTTGCTATTGCCACACAATAGTACATGACTATTATACAATTTGACACCCACATAATATTCTTTTATAGTTTTGTAGATACTAAAATCTACATTCAACAACTCTAGGATTTGAGGTTGCAAATCTATAATCCCGACTCTCATATGTTTACTTTTCAAAACTCTATATAATTTAAAACGCTCAAGCCACATATAGAATCAAATCTTCCATGATTTTTTTCATATGATTTGATCTCAAATAGAGAAAGGTTGATCCATATGTGTACATCTTAAAAACAAAACCTTGCCTTATCATCACTTTTTGAGAATGATGGACTCGCCATTTACTCATCACTAGCCATGTTGGCTATCTCTACTCCATATTAGCTTGCTTTGGTTTCAACAATTGTATTCCATTGAACATCCTTAGCAACCCCAACACCAAATTAGATAATAATGGCAAGCTTTTTTAACCTCACTTTCTCTACTATATTGCTATGGAGAATTTTCTTTAAGCACAAACACTTGGATGGCCTTACATCAACTATGTTGTGAGTATGGTTGCTTAGCTCTCAACAAATCTCTAGCAACAACATCATCAAGCAATTATCCATATTTTTTGCTATCTTGCAAGTACCATGCACTTTGTCTTGTATTTTATTAATAACAACAAATCTCCAACAATACAAGTCATATAATAGATTGCAAATCCCATACTATCATACTTTTATTACTCAATGGTACCTCAGTTCATACATACAATTGAAAACAGAATTGCATAGCCACCTCTACAACAAAATTGGAATACATTGTAGTTGATTCAACAACCAAGGATATCATTTGGCATTGATGTTTGTGTACAAATTTATGTTTCTAACCTACTCAAGTAACAAAACTTTTCTCTGACAACTAAAGCACGATATGATTAGTGCTTAATCCTAAATTCTATCATTGTACAAAGCACATTGATATTATATATCATTTCATCTAAGAACATCAACACCTTGGCAATATTGACATCTAATATATTTCCACTACCAATCAATTGGTCAATCTCTTGATGAAGGCTTTCTTCTTTGATCAATTTGTTTTACTTCAAAAATCCATTGGATTACTTCTAATACCTATAATAGTATCCATAGACTAATTATGTTTATGTTATTCTAATACTATGGCCTACTATTATTAAGACCTACTAGTTTGAGGGAGGATGTTGAAAATATTATGTAAGCACCAAGTTGGACACTCAAGTGTTTAGAAACCAAATTAACTTAATTGAACTGATAATGATCACATTGTTTTAATCAAATGCCGAAAGTTATTACATCCATTGTTTTAAATGCACAAAGCTTTATACAAAAAGTGTACTCTTTATTTCTACATGACAAATGAAAATAGATCTTTCTTGTATTGAAACATTGTGTAATCCAAGTTGAAGCATTTGAGCTTTTTCTTTTTATTTTCAACACAGTTTTTTTTTATTATTTTTATTTTTGATTCAATTGAAATGTTCAGATTCTTTTTTTTGAATCTCATTAAAGAACAAGTAGAGTTAATTACAAATGATCAAATAAGAAGGGAAATTTTTTAGTGGATAAGTGGAAGACTAATGATAAAATACTAACATAAAAACTATTGAAAATTTTAAGTTTATAGAAGTTATGGAAGAACCAAAGGAAAATGAAGCATAATTTTTGAAAATAATTGAATACAAAACTTCAAAAGGCATTAGCTCCACCTATAGTAACATCCAATCTTATCATTATGTAGTAAAAATTAAATAGAATTTGGATGTAGAAAAAGTCAAGGTGCATAGACAAACACTTGCAGTACTTCCCATTGTTGATCCACAAATTTTATCTACAATCTAAAGATGTTTATTATTAATTTATTGAAGCCATATTTGCATGTACTAAGGGCAACTACTGGTCTTTCAATTAAAATTTTCACCTCTGTGAGAAGTTTCTGTACTAAATTCATTTGTGGAATTATCTTCATTCGATGAGTGGAATTATCTTCCGCTTCTCGAAAGAGTAAACAGTGTCGTAGAGTAATAAAATGTGCATTTTTCAAAAATCGCGAATAATTTTCTTGACTTCGTAGATTTTAAGATGTTAACATTAAAAACAGCGGGGGGGTGGGTGGGTGATCAAGTGATATGCATTTAGCAATTGTTACAAACAAAAGCAGCAGGATACTTGTGGAATATACACAGAACGAGGTTCGTTTTTTTATAAAGAGGATGCATGTCCAAAATTGACTCGTCAAAAAGGACCGTCTCTAGAAAACTCACTACAATTTAAGTTATTTCAAACTGCCAAAACATATGATGATAGACCAATCCACTTCACTAAAAAGAGATTAGGTCGCATTAGTTTTGTAGAGTTTTGCGTGCCCATTGTCCTCTTTTAACAACCAAAACGTGAACAGCCCAAAGTTAGAGACAAAATTCAGATCATCTTCAGTTCGAGATAGTCACAGGTAGAATCCGCATGCAGAGATTGTACAGAAGAAAACACATGTTCCGGAGCAGAGCAACCATAAACTATCAGGGCACAAAGGAATTGCGGCCATGAGAAAGAGAATACAGCATGTCACCTACAGCCAGTCAGGCTGGCAAACTGACCACAGATGAAGCAGCGATACTAGTCCACAATGAAGCCACAAACAGACCGCAGCCCCAGACACAGATGGCTGCGATGAACCGTGTTTTCAAGATGGGTCTAGGATCTAGACATGAGGCGCCGACTTCGCAGACTTGGCAGACGCCGCCGCGTCCAAGTCCAAGAGAGGATCGTATTGCTGGAACACCAGCACCGACGCTCGCACCTCCGGCGCCATGAGCGCTTCGCCGAGGGGGCCAAGCTCTGTGTACTCCGGGTGGCGGTGTACCATACTCCCCACAAATGCAGTTGGTCGTCTGGATCGACCCACTAAGATGATGTTGTGATCGCCTGCTATTGCGGCTTGGACCACCGCCTCGAAGGGGTCCGCGACGCGGCACTCCTCCCAGGATACTTTGCTGTGCACTTCGTCTGCATCCACTTTGCCCTTTTCGCCTTTACGAATGCCATCCAACGCGGCTTCGTCCAACTTGCGTTCCTGATCTTGGTCCAGAGCCCCGGTGGCGATATGGTATCCTTTGTCAAGACTAGAGTGATGAAGTTTCGACAAGCCGAGGCTCTCAGAATGCTGCCCGTCGATCTCAATGGTGGTGTCGATGTTACTGTTCAAGAAGCGGATCACGTGCAGTTGGATGCCAGGATGCTCCGCCATGCGCAGCCCGTAGGCTAGCGCTTCTCGGTCGTCCTGACCGCCGAAGAAGTACACAACTACCTTGTGATCGACGTTGTTAGGTGCAACTTGAGCGGAGCCGCCCACGCCGCGGTCTATGAGGATGGCGACCGAGCAGGGCGCGTGTTGGAGAACTTTCTGGTTGACGAGCCGGAACCCGGGAGCTGTTGTATCGAACTGGCCATCGAGTCTTTGGGTTTTGTGGAAAGGGAGGATGATCATTGCGGCTCGTTTGTCAGTTGCTGTCGCACAAATATCCTCGTGCATGTCTTCGAAATTGGAAATGGCTGTCATCGGTCTGACAGTGACCTGCGAGATTGGAAACAAAACCGTGGAAAGCTTTATGAGAAATCTGCAATATCCGGCATTGGGACCTCAAAATAAAATAAAAAAAATAAAAAAATAAAAAAAAGTTCTCTACTAATCGACAACGTCTAGGATATGTAGCAGACCTTGCTCAAATGCCCGTAGGTTTCGAAGGCCGCAACAATCTGATCTCGACTTTCCGCAGACTTGCGCTGATTGAAGAAAGGGCGCCCATCTTTGCGAGCCCGCTGGACGATCATGATGGCAGAAGTACGTTCTGAGAGTTCCATCAAATGTAAGATGTAGAGACGAAGAGCACGCTTGCGAATACCCCTTGTTCCCTCCGTGAGATTGATCATGGCCGGGACGTTCTTCATACCATGAACACACGACAGAATGCGCAGATCGTCTTTGGAGTCCTCCATGGCCAGCTTCCTGCGGTTGTAGGGAATAGGATTTCTGGCTGGCTTGTAGAGTGCCATCACAAGGGGAGTAGTCATGAATGTTGTGACGAGGGCCATCAGAACCATGATGGCAAACGTTTCCTCATTCAGAACTCCACGATCTTTTCCGATGTTGAGCACGATAAGCTCCACGAGACCTTTGGTGTTCATCAGCACGCCTAACGTGAGCGCCTTCCGAGGGTTCACTTTGGAAGCCGTCGCAGCCAAGAATACGCCACACATCTTGCCGAAACAAGCCACGGCTATGACCAGAACGAGAAGTCCAAAGGACTGACCAGTTTTAATGGCTCCAATGTTGGTCTTCAAGCCACTTGATGCGAAATAGAGCGGCAACATCAGAATGGAGATGAAATCCTCTATCTTCTCCACCAAGGCAACTGCGAAGGGTCCGTCCTTTGGGACAATGAGACCAAACAAGAATGCACCAAAAATTGCGTGAATTCCAATTAAGTCCGTGGTGAACGCGGCTATCAAAACCCCGGCAAACGTTAGGCATACTAAGATTTCCTTCACGGGCTCGTTGTCCGCTGACCGAGTGGCCACCCACCTCATCACTGGTTGAACCACCACGAACATTGTGATTATGAAGGCGATTCCGGTGAGAAGAACCCACGCTACCACGCTAGGCTTTGTGTTGGTGCCGGTGAGAGCCACAGCGAGAGCGAGGAGGCACCACGCCACAACGTCGTCCACTGCTGCTACGGACATGGCTAGTTGTCCAACCTCTGTGGTCAACAGCTTCCTCTCTGCGAGAATTCGCGCAAGAACTGGAAAGGCCGTGATGGACATCGCCACCCCCATGAAGACAACAAACGGGCCGAATTTCACATCACCGGCGATGGTATTAAGGAGGACAAAGGAGACCCCGACTCCTGTTGAAAATGGAACCGCAATTCCTGCAGCAGATATCACCAAGGCCTGGAACCCGGTCCGGCGGATTTGCCGGATGTCCAACTCCAGTCCCACCATGAACAAGAAAAAGATCAACCCCATTTGCGCAAACACTTCCAAGATGATCACACTCTGCTTCGGAAAGATGTTCGCGATGTACGCCGTGTTCTTCCCCAAAGCTGAGGGGCCGAGTAGAATTCCACCCTAAATTACCAAGCCGCAAAATACATCAGTGGAGTCCCCGGGTCCAGTCCCATCACCAATATACGAATAAAATACACCAATTTGCCTTGATCACTTGGGAAAATTGACTTACCACAACTTCGGCAATGACCCGAGGCTGTTTCAAAGGCTTGAAAAGGGCGGCAAGCACGCGCGTGATAGTAAGCACGATGCAGATCTGGATGATGAGCAGCGGCAGCGCGAAGTGAATGGGGATATCCCCTTGCCACACGCCATTCGATGACGCAGGCATCGTCTTGCACGTCGTAACGGTGGCATTTCCGGTCGCCATCTTGCAACACTCAAGCTAGAAAATTGGGTGCCCAGACAATTCGCCTTCGCCGATCCGCTTATACAACACAACCGATCTCTTGGATCCTAAACTGAACGCTAACAAACCAGGGTTAAGTACTCACGAACCCAAGCAAGCAACCTCCCAAAACAAAGCGTGGTCCAGTAACCCTTCCCCGACATTTTGAAACTCCGGACCTGAAAACTGCAAACGATCAAACAACAACCAGGGTCAGCAAACTCATCGTGGAACTCTGCTAAGAGAAACCTGAAGAAATAACTATCTCAGCCACTCACAAGAGCACCACCCTCAAAAACGCAAGGACGACACTGCGAATCCTGGTACGTTTCCAGAAACTTCACATCCACCGAATCGGATTAGAGAGTACGCAACATTACCTGCACAACTTCGAGCCTCGCGACTAGCGGCTTGACAGGACTGCGAGTTCGAGGCGAGAGAGCGCAAGCGATGTGCAAGTGCAATCTGGGGTAGCTCAAGGTGCCAACAACGGAGCAGACGGCAGATTTATGCTCATATGAATCAGACGAGTCACGGGGGCTTGCAAAATATGAATTGAATCAACAGAAAGCGACACCCCTTCTCCACATTCCAGGAGTTATTCTCGGCAGAATCAGCCCCATCACCGGTGGTAGTGAAGTCGTGGTGCCCTCCCACTGCGCACACCGATCACATCATGCACGGAACTTGGCCGTGTTTACGGCTCCCCGCAATGCGCTCGGGGGGGAAAGCAAAAACAAAAACGACTCCCATTACGGCGAGCAACTTGGTGGCATTGACTTGATCCAAGCCCCTTTCGAAGCAATTCCAACTCGCTTCTTTTTTAATGACATTTTTTTGCTTCTTTCGTTGCTATTTCGACGACAAATCTGCACCTTGGCATGAAAGAATGTTCACGTCACTCCATCTAATCTCGATGGTGACCAGATCATGTCAACCAGCCATAAGTTGTCTAAATTTTTTGTTTCCAGACATATTTTTGTTGCAAGTGGGACGAATCTGCCAACGCCTTGTCGATGATGGCTATTTGTAGGCAGGTGATGAAATTTTGTTCTTCTTAATTGGGTGCTTACAGGCATTGTTGAGTGGTTTTAGGTTGTTTGATCGTGTCGAAAATGCAATTTAGGAATTTTTCGAATTGACAAGTTTTGAAAGTTGGTTTGTTCGTTCGCTGTCTATTTAGATGAACTAAAAACTGCTTAACATGATAGATTCAACAACGTCTAAATTCTTCATTATTTGATAACGAGTTGTTCTTTGGGAGTGGTGTAAAATCTAACATTGGTTGATGCCTATACAGTATTCTCGAATGACTGTATACATTCGAGAATATTGTTGTAGCACAAAATCAGGAATGAGAACAAACCGTAAAAAAGTAAATTTAAACAAAACAAAACAAAACAAAAGTTGAATGAAATTTGCACACAATCTTATAATAACATTTGATTCCGTTTCGTAGATTTTCGACAACTTTGGGATGGATGCAAGGATGAATTCCAGGCTTACAAACTACGTTATTAAATTAATTCTTTCAACACTGTAACGAAATCTCTGTAATGCTTTCTTTTTAAACACATTAAGAACTGCTGTTGCATCCATCGCCAACCTATCCATGTGCAAGATTCAAGAGTGAAATTAAAAATTGTTGAGCAATAATCATTGAGCCAAAAGGATTCAACGTATTAAAATATATATATATATATATATATATATATAGCAACACATACAAATCTAATTTGGCTCTCAATAAAAACAACATTCAACATTCATAATGCTTCATGGTTGAAATGTTATTTTTTATATTTATATTAACACAAGTTGTCCAATTCTATATTATTATAAACTTGGTATTGTTTCAAACAAAAAGTGTGATCTCTCATATTTGAGGGAAAACTATAATAGAGTGTAAATTTATAGTTTTTTAAAAATTAAAAAATATTAAACATATTGATAATGTTACACAAAATATGTTATTAACAATGTAGGTTTATTTAGTTTAAAATTTACATTAAAACATGCAACTTTATACATTATTTAAAAAAAATACATGTAAAGTTCTTATAAGATCTTGTGCACTGATGATTCAAGTATGTATATATACCAAAATAGCAATGCCTCCATTTTGTTTGTCCTCATGATACTATCAAATGATGTCATCAACAAAAACAAAATTTCTAGCAACAACCCGATTGCAATATGTTCCGTTTTCTTTTTCAAAGCCTTTTTTGACCAATTCAGCCTCAATAAGGCAAGAAAAAAATAAAACTTCATAAATCCAAACATAAATATTATCAATCAAATCCTAAAGGATTTCAAATATATACATATAATTCAAAAAACTAAGAATAATATTAAAATATTGAATGTAGTTCAATGTAAAGTTTTTGCACTTTATTATATATCTTCTTAACTTGTATACACTAACTTAAATATTAAACTTTATATTAACTGTATGTTGAAGTTGTGTCACAGACATACGCATGTAAGCCAATAATTACATGTATAAATAGGTAGAAGTAAGTAAAAGTAGATAAAAGTAAGTTAATTCTATAATATTCATTATGGAAGCTTCTTAGAAGCTTTATAGATACTGCTTTGACTTTATAGGTGCCTTTAATTGACTTTTTGGATTAGAAACGTGGTCAACAAGTTGGCCATGTGCCACATATGTTGTTGTCAAGGACAAAGACTCGATGAGGGAAAATATACACAAAAAGGCTATCTCGATATAATAAGTCAAAATATAAACAAGTAGGTATATTAAAAGGAAACTGGAATGGCTATTGCCACAAGACAAGAAACTAAAGACTCTTGAACCTGGACTAGAAGCAAGAAAGGAGTTGACAAGAGTGAAGAAGCCTTCACTCTTGTCTCTATATATACTATCTAACTAGGGGCTACGTGGCGACGTTCTATAGGACCTCCAATATGTGTTGACTTTGTAGGACACATGCCTTGACTTACAAGGCAAGTTTTTCTACGTGTGGACCACATAGTTAGCTTGATCTTCAAGCTAACAACATGTGTGGCACATGGCCAACTTGTTGACCACGTTTCTAATCCAAAAAGTCAATTAAAGACACCTATGAAGTCAAGGCAGCGTCTAGGAAGTTTTTAGGAAGCTTCTATATTAAATATTATAGAATTAGCTTACTTTTATCTACTTTTACTTACTTCTACCTATTTCTATATGTAATTATTAGCTTACATGATTATGGCCGTGACATTACCTCCCCTTCTAGAGATGAGTTCTACGAGGAGCGGTCATCATATGTTGAGGAAATCTATGATGCGACGAATTATATTCGCCACATACTCTGATCTCTGTTCTCTTTGAAGATGATTGATAGGGCCTCTCAACCATCGGTAGTGTCCCATACCAGGGCGGGAAGACCACCCAGTTATTTGATCATTGTTGAGGCCTTCGTAACTTCCTTCGAATAAAATATTCGGAACACCATCAGGAGTTGTTCCTATCTCTAGCAAAATCACCAAACATCGAGAGTCCCTTCTCAAATCGTGATACCAAATGCGTTGTATCTCACCATTTATTCGAGGAAGAACATGTCGTTCTTGAAGATCTTCATCTCGATTGCGTCGTCTTGAAGGTTGTGACAATCGTAATGTCTCATCCGACAGGTCAGTAAATGAAGGTTCTTGAGTTGAATCCGTTGATTGTTGGCTCTCCATCTAATTAGCATCACAAATGCAAAGAAGTTACAAACAAGGATAAGAAATTGAATGTTATCTTGCTTCAATCTTGTCTCTTTTATAAGAGAGATTTTCATCTTGGTTTCGATGGATGTCGTTGATGAAAAACTTTGACTTTAGCTGATGCATTTGCTAGATTCCTGGATGGCTCCCATGTGCATTCACTAATATCATATCCGCGCCAATGAACAAGATATTTCAGCTTATTTCGGCGCCGCCTTGAGTCTAATATCTCTTCCACCTCAAATTCTTCATTATTATCTACTTCTATAGGAGGCGGTGGCATTTGTCTTCTTCCTTGTATATCCACTGTCTTATATGGTTCAAGAAGAGACACGTGGAATACAGGATGGATCTTCATTGACACCGGTAGATGTAACCGATATGCAACTGGGTTGATCTGTTCAAAAACAGAAAAGGGGCCAAGCCTACGATAGTCCAACTTGTCACAAGGTCGAGTAGTCTTGATATTGCGACGAAGTAGCCATACCTTATCACCCACATTGAGTTGTGGTTGCTCCTTACGATATAGATCTGCGTTTATCTTTTGTCGTTCTTGAGCTTTCTTCAATTGCGTCTTCATTATTGCATGTAACTCTGACAACCGATTTGCCATATCTTCTGTTGCAGGATTATCAACTTTTGAAAAATCAAAAGTATCAAGTCGTGGATGATAGCCATAATTGGCAAAGAAAGGTGTTTGTTGCGTGGAAGAATGTACCGTATTATTATAAGCAAACTCTGCCAATGGCAGAAGGGTTGTCCAATCATCTTGTTGGTATTTGATAGTACATCTTAAATATTGCTCCAAGACTTGGTTTACGCGCTCTGTTTGTCCATCAATTTGAGGATGGAAAGCCGAAGATAGCTTTATGTCCACTTTTAAAATCTTGAAAAGGTTCCTCCAAAATCTTGACACAAATTGAGTTCCCCTATCCGATATGATATCTTTAGGTAATCCATGATAGCGATAGATATTATCAATGAAAAGCTTAGCTGTTTCTTCACCTGTGATAGATTTTGTACATGGCACAAAATGTGCCATCTTGGTGAAACGATCTACTATCACAAATATAGAATCATAAGATCTTGAGCTTGGAAGATCTGTGATGAAATCCATAGAAATAGAAGACCATGGTTGTTCTGGTATAGGTAATGGCTGAAGAAGTCCGTAAGGTCGATGACGAGGAATTTTTGATCTTGAACAAATATCACATGATTGTACAAAGTCTTTGACTGACTTCCACATTTGTGGCCACCAAAAATCTCTTGATATGAGTTCCAAAGTCTTATTATATCCAAAGTGCCCTGCTGTTGGAAAGTCATGAAGTGCTTGAAGAACACGTAAACGTGCTTCTCCTTCTGGAACATATAGGCGTCCTTCAAAATATAATAGATTATTATTGAACTCGAACTTAGAAGGATCATGAGACTTGGAAGAATTATTCTCGATATCATGAACAAGAGGGTCTGAGGACATACTGGATTGGATTTGCTTGAGAAAAGTTGAATCAACAGTCAATGTTGATTTCATTGCTCGGAGATGAAATTGCTCTGGTTTCAAGAGGACCGTTCTTTGTTGCTCAAAAGCTGCATCTCCTTCTTTTGGTGCAAAATAAGAACGTCTAGATAGGGCATCGGACAAACCTTGTTGTTTTCCTGGCCGATAAGTGATAATGAACTCGAATCTTGACAAAGACATACTCCAACGAGCTTGACGACGATTCAACACGCGTGCTGACATGAAATACTCGAGGTTCTTGTGATCTGTATACACAGTGACTGGACTAGAAGCGCCTTCTAGATAATGACGCCATTCTTGAAAGGAATCCACGATTGCAAGAAGTTCTTTATCGTAGATCTCATAATTGATCTCGGCTGCTGAGAATTTTCTTGAATGAAAAGCTATCGGATGAAGTTTGTCATCTATTCCCATTTGTGATAAAACTGCACCCAAGGCAA